TACGGCAACTTGGTTTATACCAATAAATAATTTATTAATATTCTTTTGTTATTAAACTTTCCTCCATCCCATGCAAGGTAGTAGTATTATTTCTTCACTGTGTATTCCAGATTTTGATGACTGGATGCAGGGTTACATGTCAAAAAAATATGATTCTAGTTTCAAAAAGTTGTGATTTGGCAATAATTGATCTGCTGGATTCCCTATTAACTGAGATCAGTTAAAGATTTGGTAATATCTCGGATCATTTCATGTTGTCTTACATAATATGACAAATAACTAGGGGTTTGCAATAGAATTGGTCTACTATTATTTTTTGTAGGCATGAATGTTCCCAGCACTCCTTCATTTCACCTGACCTGTTAACAAATGATGACAGAGATAATGAAGGGTACTACAAATGCAGAGATGCCAACTGTTTTCTCCTTTACAAGACCAAAGCTAGTAGAAACAGGCAAGTTATGTACTGGAAACATATCAACTAGTTTCTTGTGTTTATGGGTGTTTAAGTCATTTGCAGCAGATACATGGCTACTCAGCCTGGCATTATTTACTTGTATTTTTAGGAAGCATCCAGGTTTTGTTATAAAATGATCATTGGCACTGTTGCATTGCAGTTATGAACACAGTATCAGATTAAATGCTCTTCAGATTACAGACACTAACTTGTTCAAAAAAAATTACTTTGTTTGAGAAAACATTTCATATGGAAGCAAACAAATCCATTAATTTTTCTGGGTATTTTTATTTGTATAGACATGAACGGAAAACCCACGACAACATCCCAGACCAGTCATCCAGTGTCAGTGGGGAACCCCAAGAGCAAGTAGTAGAGGACTATAAGTACAACTACCATGTAGCTCGTCTGTTTTATGGACTTCTGATGGTGAACACTCACGACTCGATTAGAGAGGGAGATGCAGCACGACTGATGGATTGCATGAAAATGTCACTTTTGTTTTTCAAGAAATTCAAGAAACACAAATACGCTTACACAGTGCTGTTGTTTCTTTGTAAAGTATTTGCAATTTTGTCTGAAAGGGAAGCTTTCCATCTTTGCTGGAATCGCTTTTTTAACGGAAAAGGGGGAAAGGGCAAAAACATCCCACTTGATTTAAAGATGGAATTTTATAACCACATGCTGAAATCATGCCTGAGAATGCTTGGAGGAAATATCAATGCCAAGAGTGCCCAAAGAGTTGCTAGATGTCTGACAATGATGCAGAAAGTACTAGATTCAGTTGACTGTGATGTTAGGCTAGTTAACAAAAGTGGGGCCCACAGGTTGGTTGAAGCTCAGCAAGCAGTATCCCAAATTGTAAATGATCTTGTTGAAGGAAATGTATTTAGCTTTCAGCAAGGTAGAGAAGGATATACTGCTTTTCCAAATTTTGAAAGGGATATCCTGAAGGGTCTTGATTATAGAGACTTCTTTTCATGGTCACGAGATCTTATCAAAACATGGTATGCTATGTACGAGTAAATATAAAAGGCTGCCTCATTTCCTATGTTGACTTTGACTGAGATGCTCACCACAAGTCAAAATGATCTAGTAGATTCAATAAACCCTTTAAGGCCCAATTACATTATGCAAAAATTTCTTCTGGTTTTTTACTTTCTAAGTGTTTGAAGAAATTTTCTAAACATCACAGCAGTTTGACTTGTCTGCTTATTGCTTTCTTTTCGAGCTGTCTGTTGTATTGTATAGCCATGTCACAAGATGAAATAAGATCTACATTGGGGCTCAAAGGGTTAAAAGCAAATTATCAAATTCATCTTCACTGACAGGACAATCCTCCTCTTCTCCAGAATCATCTGATGAATCAAAGTAGTCACACCAGAACAAATCACGCATGTCTGTATGACAATCTGTGGCTGTACATGAATTTTGCTCCTGGGTAAAGGATTGACAAAACATTGCATCAGCAGAAACGTCTATGTCTTCAAACTGTTCACTAAATATTTCTACAATGTCTCTAGCAAGTTGCATTGACGTAATGTTATGATTTTCAATCAAATATTCAATATCAAAAATGTGGCTGGCTTCACTCACAATACCTTCAATGACATCATCAGAAAATCCATGTGCCATAACAGTATTCCCTAATATGGGAAATGAAATGTTTTGATTAAGTGTTTCCTGGATTTCAAACAGTGCAGATCTTAAATCATTCTCATCTTCTGTAGTAATGCTTCTTGTTCTCCCTGATTTACTCTCCTGATCAGAAGTAGATCCTTCAAATGCTGGCAACTGAACATTGCATTTGTTGCCACCACACTTGCACATTCTGTGGCAGTTATGGCAGCAGCGATGCCCTTCTGGGAGAGATTTTATGTCGCGCACGAAATCCTTGAAAAGGGCCACTCGAAGGCAAGTGTCTATTTTGAAGCAAGCTTTAATTTTTTTGTCACAGAGACGCAGCTGCTGACCATGGTAAAACGTGATATTATGTGCCTCTTTGCCATCCCTGCCTGCTCTGCCTGCTTCTTGCAAATGACTACACAAATCTGGGGCAGGACCATAGTGTATGACATATCTTATGTCTTTAAAGTTCACCCCTAGGCTAAGTGCAGAGGTGGCAATTACTACTCTGATGGGACCATCATCATTCTTAAAAGACTTTCTTACTCGCTCCTTTAGTTCAGCGGGGCTGTTGCTGTGGTACACTCCAAGTAGACATTTAGTTTTTGACTTGTTCTCATCTATATAAGCAAGGTGTCCCAGTTTCTTGAGTAGGTAGCTCAATACAACTGACACGTCATTAATACTCCTACAAAATACAATAGTCTTTGGAGTTTGTTCCTGTTCAGTGCCAATCTTGTCAACAAGCCAATTGAAACAACTCAGCCCTCTCTTGACATCCTTGGCAGAGAACCGTATATTTTCATTGTTAACTGACACATCAATCACACTTGCTTTAGGCATCCCAAGAAGCTTCACGAGAGCTTCTCTGCTTCTCTGTTCCACAGTAGCCGTCAAGGCAAGTAAAGGGGTTCCTGGTTTAAGAAAGGATCTTATTGAGGCAATGTCCCCATAAGCTTTCCTAAAAGCTGTTTTCTTGTTAGTAGCCTGGCCCCTTAATCAAAAAGAAAATAAGATATTATAAATCTCATATAACACCACTACACCTATAGCACTACGTAAATAGTTTTTACTCTTTTAGTTACAGTGGAACCTCGATATAACGAACCTCTATATAACAAAGTCCTCGGTATAAAAAAAATTCTTTGCCCCAGTAATAGTAGAATTTATGAAAAAGAACCTCGATATAACGGAACCTTATTATAATGAACATATTGTGCCAGTCCCTTGGCCCTTCGTTACATTGAGGTTCCACTGTAGTATGGCAGATGTAGAGCTACTTTGTAGATATACTGTCAATAAATCGTTATTAATATTATTATTGAAAACAACTTTACTCCGCTTAATACATTGTAAAGTGTTTTGTCAAATAGTGCATAGCGGTAGGCTGATTTTAAACCAAACATAAGCAGACAAAAGAAAACAGTAGTTGTAAGATCACTCGAGTGTATTACAGTACTGCAACCATGCTTTAGCTTAACAAGTCTGATAATTTATTCTCCACAAATTACAACCAAAAAGTTAACAATCGATCGACACCGACGTACATACATCTCAGGTTTTCAATGTCGCATATTGAACTTAAGCCTACTGTGTGGTGGAAATTACAATGAAAAGGAAATACCGAATACCTACCAACTTTGAGCAACGTGAGCTTCATCTACGACAATGAGCTCCACATTGTTTCTCAGGGCGGACCTCTTGAAGTTATTTATCCAGGTCTTCCTCAGCCACATTTCTGCACTACCAAACACCAACTTGTAATCGCCCTTTAGTATATTTTCATCCGTTTCACGGCTATCGCCAACAGCTACAGCTGATATGCCTGTGTCGGCAAGTTCCTGAACCTGCTCTTCTGTTATAGCATTCAACGCGCTAACAATGACAACGTGACAATTTTTCCTGCCGTTCACCAACTCGAAGATTCGCGGATATAGTTGGAAAATTAAGCTTTTACCAAATCCTGTTGGTAACAAACCCAACACGTCTTTCTTCTGTAGCAGTGCTGCGATACATTTCTTCTGTTCATCCTTTAAACAATCGATATTGGGAAAACTTTCGAGAGCACTTTCTATCGCTTCTTCCAAACTCAAGGCCGCCATTTTTGTTTACTAATCTTGATCACTTACGTCATCATCACGTGGCGCTAATTGACCAATCAGCATGACCGTCTACCTGATAGACGGTCGAGCATTGGTGGAACAGCAAGAACAATGGACTGCGAACAGGCGCTTTATTTTTCTCTTTCCCTCGTCTCGCGCTTCGCGCTCGTGTCGCGCTCCGCGCGAAATATCGCGTTCGCCCCGCTTGGCTCATAAAGCGCCTGTCATGCAGGCTAGGATTCGTGGCCTTTTCAACTGCCGCCCCCTTCAACCCATTTTGACATCCTGTTGACAACTTGTTTGGTTTCAGTTTTCCCAGCCAATCAGAAATAAAGTGTTGACAGCCTAAACACGACACAAAAGCTCGTGATATAGTGTAAAACGTGACCTTGGCCGGAATTGGAGTTTGCTTGAACAAACACGGGTTTTTTCTTTGTGGCTATCTCGCGCATAGGTGACTACACTGCTTTCTAAACTTGACTGAGTAGATCTTATTTTTGCTGCACTAAGTCTTACATTTATTTAGAGGTCATGGAGTTGGTTTGTTTAATCCGTATTGAGTAACTATTTCCTGTGGTTAATGTTATTTTCGCTAATTAGAATTTGTTGATCTCAGATGCAGTTGTAAAGTACTAATTTCTTTGACCACTCTTAAAGCCTAAAGCTTTTTATTACGGCTAAATAAATATTTTAGTTTCTTTGGTCTTTTCCGACTAAAATGCCTGGATCTGGACAACTACAAACCAAGGAGCCTTGGTTTGTAGTTTCTTTGTCACTGCTTTGTCCGTGAATGTTTTGACGCTGGACCCGGCTTTTTAAGTGTTGTTTGCAGGATGTTGTATTTTTACGTATAGCGCGATCTTCAGATTTGAGTTGTAGCTTAAGCTACACCAAGCAAAAAAGTATGGAGAATTACGCTGTGCATCTTTCTTCTACCGTATGCGATTCATCGACCACAATCGCGGACACCGTTCGATGTATTGCGCTGGAGTGCGTTATTCTCTAACACCGAGTAATAGACAAAATTGAGGTGAACTTTCTCGAAGCACTGAAATTTACTGTTTCTGTCATAAGGCCCATTGCTTTACAGCTCAGCGACAACATTTCAGATATCTGGTCGTCGATAGTGCTTTTTAGAGGGGAAATTGTGATCATACCGGTTTTCGATGAGGATATTTCTTCTTTGGCCATAGCAAAGACAGTAAAGATCATGCTCTTGCCAAATCTTGTTGACAAAATTTCCATGACATCTCTCCTTTGAAGAAGACTGTAAATGGCCATTTCCTGTTTAGGCTTCAATACAATTGCCCTGTTTTCCCGTCAAATATTCAAGATCGACGACGCTCCGGTCAACGCTTCTTTGATATTTTGATTTTGTTTTGCGGAGATGTTCAGTCCCTCGAAACTCTCCCATGGGATATTACCAAAATATTTGATTGACAGGCGAACATTCCGAACCAATCGGAACGATCCGTACGCTGGCGTGCGGACCGACTCAAAAAAGCCCCCCGTCCGTGCAGGCGGTTTTTCAAGTTGCTTCCGCCCCAATCTCCTCGAGGTTTCTCTGCCCTCGCCCGCCTTTATTACTTAGCGCGCCCAACCAAAACCGCCATGCTACGCAGGCTAGTTCAGTATACTCTGTTAGGTGTTCTTGTATTAGTATCATAATAATTAATTTGAAAATATCAGAACAGAATCAAAATGGAGATTTTTCCCATTTTGACCCTCCATTGATCGGGATTCGGTATTTCAAGCAGAAATGGAGAGAATCCCGACGAAATAGCGGTGGCTGGACAGTGTTATAAACAATCGGTCCACTGTGTGGACCCCTTGTGCTTGATTGATGTCAATCAAAATAGTCGATCTGTTTCCTGCCGTACCGTAAGCGACATCACCATTGATCACAGTTCTGTATACCAGATTGAAGTGACAGTCATTCAGGTGTATCTGCTCTCTTCTCGAATTTTTCCGGCAATCTTAGAGGTATGTATAGGTATTTATCATATTTAAGGTTTAGAATAGACAAGTTTTAGTATTCGCAAGCCTTTACGTAGTTGTGGGACCAGCCACATACCACCACGTGCAATAATCAACGGATCCACGCGAAACGTCGGCTTGTCTTTGCACTCATTGAATCTGTACTAATTTTGTGCTTTTCAATGTCGTTGTTTCAGAAAAAAACATCGCATTCTATTTAGTAGAGTGGATATTCGTTATAATGCAGTCAGAAGGTGACCAGGTTAGTACATTTCCCTCCTCTTCGTCACTTAAATCTCAATAGTGCTTCTCAGGGAACCACGTGCACTGCTTTCTTTTAGGTGAATCACTGGTCCTCGATCACCCGTTTTTCTTCGCTCGTGAAAAGTAAGGTTTGGTCATCTGAAGGTGAACGATGTCCTTCGGGTATCGACAGTGAGATAAAACGTAAAAAAAAGGGTAGTTGCAGCTCCAGCACCATGTAAACTGAAGACAAGAGTGCGAGAGCGTTTAACATAACAGCGTTTGTTTTAGTGTCATACGTTTATGGACATGTCAAAAATGGACACGAATACTTTACATCAGACTTAAAATTGTAACGTTTAAAAAACCTTTGCGGATCTCTGGAAAATTCGCCAAAATTAGATCTCGCAAAAATTTCGTGTCACACGGTATTTAACGCAGAAAAAGTGCGCTTATGTGTTGTTTGTGAGCATGAAAAGTGTTAAAAACCGCGTGAACGTGAAATTGTCATGTATTAAAGCTTATGTGCATGATCTATGGGATTTATAGCTCCATGATTCGACGTCTTGCGTAGTGTTTTAAGATTGCTGCATGTCAAGTCTAACCCTGTCAAAAACATGTTGCGTATTTGATTTATAGGCGTCCTTCAAGATGAGTGATGGGACTACATACATATTGAGCCCGAAAGGGAATTACACAGAATTTGGAGACTTCATGCTCAAGCTAGTCGCAGAAGTTTCTGGCCATGGCGCGTCAGAGGGATACTGGTTGTGCTCTTGCGAAACCTATGTTTATAAATACCTCGAAAGAAGGCGAGAGCTTTTTTTTTTTTTGTGATTAAGCAATGCTTAAAATGTAACATATTAATTAGCTTGGTCAATGCCAGAATCATCTTAATTAATACATTTCTGTTTTATTTGATTTTAGGAAAGTGATACTACCCGCAGTGCTTTGACAGCAGAGCCAAATTTCTTTTCTGTTTACGAGAACAGTTTTCCTCTGGTATGTTCAGTCTCAATGGGAGTGTCAATAACAGGGATGTTGCCGACCTTTATTCTTTTTTAAAGAAAGATTATCAGCTTGGGAGGCCGCAAAGGTGTCAGTTGATTAAACACCTAGGGTATCAAGGGAACAACTACTGGTACATCTCTGAAAAGGTGAATAACAGTGCTAAGAAATGTTTATGTACTTTCTGACTTTTCCAATTACGACAATTACCTGTATGAACAATACTGTGCATAATGAATGATTTTCCAGTGATCGGAGACTTACTTTTTAATACCTATGCGCACCTGCCTCGTACCCAGACGTCTCTCTCTCGATGAAAATGTGCGCGCAAAGGAAGGCGGGGATGAGACAACGGGCGTGATCGGAGAGATCGGAGACTTACTTATGCGCACAGGATTATGGGATCGCCAGGGGGGAAAACATGGCGAGTTGCGAGTCCGTACAAGAGTTGTTAGAGTTGGGCTTTGGACCGACGTATTTGCCGTGATTTTATGAGAAGCACGATGTTAACCACTCCAATTTATTTTTATTTGTTGCCAGCCTAGCTGGGGTCTTTTTCGGTGCGAGATAGTAACTGATATACTAGACTGTTCACAGTCCCCTATTTTTTCGTGAGATCGTTTAGATATACCGCGTCTTACCGTCACGGCTACATCTTGATTTTCAAATGTACCGAGGGGGGGTGTCGGGGATTATAGCTCTGGTGGGGGGGAGAAAATAGAGGGACTGTAATAACAACACTGCAGCTCGCGTTCACGGAGCGCGTTGTACCAGCAACGCAGGCCTTTGATTGGTCATTAGACAATGGATGTTTATTTGCGTTGACAACGGGTTTAGTTTAAGTTGCCGACACTGAAAAGTCGTTGACAAGTCGATATTTCCATAAAACGTACGCTTTCATACCACAAGGCACATCTTGCGCAAAAGCACGAAGGAGTTTTGGTATTTTGTTTAGAAAAATGTTTTCTTGTGTGTGTTTGCCGATTTTATTTCGAGGAATGGGCCTAAAAACATTATAAAATCACTGTTTCCCAAGGAGATATTTGTAGACACGCGTAATCGATGCTAAATGTGTCTGGCATGTTTTTCATCACTGGCGGAGTTTCTTAATTAATGGATGGTAAAAGGCGTGAAATTCCTGTCACGCCTCCTGAACGCGAGCTGCAGTGATGTTATTACAGTCCCTCTATTTTTCGCGCTTCCTCCCAAACCGCCCCCGCCCCCTAAGTAGTTTTGACACTCATCTAAGATGGCAACCCGTAACGCAAAGCGCTCGATCTCGACGATCTTACGGAAAAATAGAGGACAGTGAACAGTCTACTGATATACGAAAATTGCTTTGCTACTGATATGTTTTTAGATCCAGTTGTACAATGGCAACCTTGTTGCTGAAGACCAACGCAGGTACCTGTGCCTGAATGGTGACTTACAGACCATGGGCACAGAGATTGCTGATGTCATTTTAACTTCCACCAGTGAATTTAATGTGGCATTGACTGGGTAACTGTACGTAATACGCAGTTTCTATTGGTGATGACTCGCAAAGTTTAGTTTTTCTTAAATTCTATTATTCTAAACTAAATAAAATGACGTATTAACTTACATGTTGCAGTTGGTTGTAAGGTGTTTGGGTACACCAAATGGAAGATAGCTGATCCACTTCTAGTCATTACTTTGCTTGAATGAATCTTATTTAAACTTTTCTTATATCTTACAACCAATCCTTTGATTTTTCTTAAATCATGAACACGGAAAGGCCAGCTGAATTCATTACGTTTCAACCTGGATAATATTCTTTCATGGCTCTAGTATAGTACGATAAAAAATAATGATTTGACCAATGTTATTACTGCTTTTAAATTCAGCTTCATTTATCAGTTTCCACACTCAATCCACACTGTACAATATTGCATATTGGACCATACTTTTAATACTATAGAGCTCAGTCCTAAACAGAGAATAAAATAATGTTTTCCAAACATTTTGTTTCCAAATTAACTAACAACAAAGTCGGTTACTTTCAATTACTTCTTGTTTCCAGATACCTTTCCCTGTGCAGTGCGGCCTTCGGAGCTAACGCAGATGCTTTCATGGCTGCAACCTCATTTGTTCTTTGGCGAATTTTAGCAAATGCTAGGGGGCATTCAAATGTATGTAAATGTATAACGTATTCACTTTTTTTTTTAAAAAAAATTAATGGGTAACAATTTTGCTGACCTATCAGATTTCTTTTCCTGTCAGGCATTTCAGGGACGTGTCATTTAAAGTATCTGTAAACAACTACTGATCATGACATAATTATGTCCAGTCTACCGCTTGTTAATTTGTTTCACAATTTAAATTGCAATCTCCTGTTAAGTGACGATTGGAAGTCCTTTCATTTCTATACAATAAATTTGATTGTCAAATCAAAACAAATTTTACATTTTTCTTTAAGGCGAAGCGTCCATTGGCCTCATTTTCAGTGGTAGCAGAAGTGTGGGTATATAATAATATATAATTAATTAATATCCCGTACGAAACTTGCAGCGCTGTACAGCGCCACAAAATCGCTGCAAAATAGCTGTACAGCTAAATTACAGCTGTTCAGCAGCCTTTTAGAAGCCAAACAGCAGCTTCATTCAAGTTGCAGCGGGATGCAAAAGCGCTGTGCAGCCTTTGAAGGCTCTTTGAAGCTCTCGGCAGCGGTTTTGCAGCGCAGTTGCCGACTTTCAAACGCTGCGAAGTAGCTGCAGTAACGCTACAATTCAGCTGCGGTCGATCTGACTTTCTTGAGCGCCAATAACATGGATCGCCAGATAAAGCCTTGGCACAGATTATGGCTTTTATAACGCGAAAACTTTGACTGTACCTCTAAGAAATGTGAGTAAGCTTGTGCGCAAAGAAGATCACTTATTGAATAAACCTCCAAATCCTATGCTTTCGGAATAAAGATTTCAATAAATTTCATTCCGTGACCGGCGAGTGTGGGAATGTTATCGCTAATTCCCTGGAGACATTCTAGGCCGTAATCTAATTGGTCGGTCCTTTTGCATGAGATCCCATTACATCTC